TCATCACACACCACTCATCTCACACCTCTCATCACCACTCATCTCACACCACTCGCTCCACTTCTCATCACACACCACTCATCTCACACCTCTCATCACACACCACTCATCTCACACATCTCATCACCACTCGCCCCACTTCTTATCACACACCACTCATCCCACACCTCCCATCACACACCACTCATCTCACACATCTCATCACCACTCATCTCACACCCCTCATCCGCCGCTTGGGCCGCGGCCTTTCGTGTGGCAGGCGCAGTACACAGAGCATCCTGGAGGAGCTGCGGCGCGTGTGGCCGCCGCTTGGGCCGCGGCTGCCTTTCGTGTGGCAGGAACAGAGACTTCTGGAGGAGCTGCGGCGCGCGTGGCCGCCTCTTGGGCCGCGGCTGCCTTGGCCGCTGCTTGGGCCGCGGCTGCCGTTCGTGTGGCAGGCGCACTACATAGAGCCTCCTGGAGGAGTTGCGGCGCGCGTGGCCGCCGCCTGGTTCGTGTGGCAGGCGCACTACACACAGCCTTCTGGAGGAGCTGTGGCGCGCGTGGCCGCCGCTTGGGCCGCGGCCTTTCGTGTGGCAGGCGCAGTACACAGAGGAGCTGCGGCGCGCGTGGCCGCCGCTTGGGCCGCGGCTGGCTTTCACACACTATCTTTCACACACAACTTTGTCACACACCATCTTTGACACACCATCTTTCACACACCATCTTTGTCACACCACTATCTTTCACACATCAGCTTTCATACCACTTTGTCACACACCATCTTTCACACACCATCTTTGACACACCACCTTTGACACACCATCTTTTTCACACCATCTTACACACGCCATCTTTGACACGCCATCTTTGAAACACCATCTTTTACACACCATCTTTCACACACAACTTTGTCACCCACCATCTTTGACACACCATCTTTCACACCATCTTTGACACACCATCTTTCACACCACCTTTCACACACCATCTTTCACACCACTTTGTTTTCACACACCATCTTTCACACACCATCTTTCACACTCACACCATTTTTCACACACAACTTTGTCACACACACCATCTTTCACACACAACTTTGTCACACACACAGACCATCTTTCACATACAACTTTGTCACACGCCATCTTTCACACACCACTTTGTCACACACCATCTTTCGCAGAACTTTTTCACACACCCTTCCTTTCACACACCACTTTGTCAAACACCATCTTTCACACACCATCTTTGACACCACATCTTTGACACACAGCATCTTTCACAGACCGTCACAAACCATTTTTCACACACCATCTTTCACACATCACTTTGTCACACACCATCTTTAACACACCATCTTTCACACACAACTTTGTCACACACCATCTTTCACCACACCACTTTGTCACACACCATCTTTCACCACACCATCTTTCACACACACACAACTTTGTCACACACCATCTTTCCTCCACCTCCTCCTTTGTCATTCCTTCCTTCCCCGTCCCCGCTACAACATTTCTTGCTCATTATTGGAAGAAGTTGACTTGTGGGGTTATCCGGTCCTTTTTTATTTTGAATATTTTTTGATATTTTTTGAAGCTATTGATTTGATTGATTTGTCAATTTGCTGGTTCTTGTTCGAGTTGCACTCGTTCGACTCCAAGCCTTAGTTACAGAAGCTTCAAATATGAGAAGGTTTTGACACCATTAGCCTTAAATGAGAAGGTTTTGACAAGTTCATTCTGGAGCCAAAGGTCATTCTATAATGTTGTGTTTTCAAGCCTGGCAACTATGTTTGTAGCTGATGTCAATGCAAGGCTGTGTTGGCCAGTCGACTACGATTTATTTGTTTAATTCTAAACATCAAATATATCAGGAATCACTGTAATTATAGCATCTGAGAAACGCGCAGAATGATGTTTCATCCCACAGCTTTTGTTAAAAAAATATGGTTTGAAGCTCAACAGGCCCCTCTCAGGTCTTAACGGTGAGACGCTTTAAGCCGCTGGGACGCATGGCCTAGGTGATCTGGGTGTGGCGCCAACCATCTGCCGAGTTTCGACATTCATCTCAAACTGGAACAGATCCGATGATGTTTGACACCATCTTGGCTTGGGTATATGAATGATGGTTTGATCATGATCCAAGTATATCTAGTCAATAAGAAAATCCTCGTACTGCAGCAGTTAGGTAATTACTATTAATTACTGTCAGTGCCCGCCTGAGCATTGATCTGCTTCGGCCCCTGCAGCCAGCACCAAGTCATTGGGGCAAGTTTGAGCTGACGAACCCCAATTGAGCCCAGAAAATCTTCCATGCTTTTCCCACATTCGATCCACGGCAGGGTGCTGCCTCATTTTTCTACAAGTACTACAAATGGATGGTTTTCCGTTCGCCTCCCTGAGAGCATCCTTGATTGCATCCACTTTATCCATGTATCTATCATCTACCCATCCTATCAGCGGATATCAGCGGTATCTCCATCCCCCTTTCCCGAGCTGTCAGGGTGCCTCCACATCTGCCCTTGGTGTATCTTGGTGTCACGGTGTTACGGGTCCCGCTGCTTTCGCCAACAGTATCGCCCCAAGAAAATGGTGGTTTACCCAACAGAATCTGATGGTTTCTTGAGGCTGTGAATGGGGTAACCAAGCTTTTATGTGAATATGATTCGGATATAACTAGCAATTTGAGGAAGGGCTGTCTAAAAATGAGCTCTCTCACAAATCAGAACTGTTTTCATAAGGAAAATTATGATTAACCAGCGAGTTTAGGCTTAGGGGCATTATATTTTGCAAACACGCCCATCATGGAACATGTTTCACCAGCCTATTCAAATGGAAGCATCATCCAAACCGGTCGTCAAACTATCAACAATTTTAATATGCCAGTGTCAGCACTTCTTTCTTGAGAAATCGCACTTCCCAAACGAATCATCGCTTCAAGCAGCAAAAATGCGCTACTGCAGCTGCAAACGTGAGAATAATAGTCCCAACATGTACCAATATATTAGATCGAAATTACACGTATGCGGTATGCGGTTAACCACGGGTAAGCAATACCAATTCTTACCATACGTGAATTGCATAAACCATCCCCCATTGGAGGCTGATTTGTTGATATTCTTTGAGCCTACCGCATTTTAAACTCCCACTTGGCTAGTTGAACCATGTTAAATCCATGCTTTCATCCTTGGATCCTGGCATCGTGGCGGCTTTTTCTTGACGCTTTGGACCTTGGATGCGATGAGTTCTATACTAATTACACGGGGCGTCAGCCCGCATCTAATAAAGATAATTGTACGATAATGATGTACTTCAGAAACTCCCAAATCCCACATGCACAAACGCACGTTGCTGCACATTGCATGGAAAATTGCATGGCGACAACTCGAAAAAGGATATACCATAGATTTGGAGGAGTCAAAGCAACTAGCAAAACTCCGCGCAGGCTGCAGTCAATGTAGCGGTTGAGGGTAAGATTTGCATGAACCATGAAACCAACGATTTTTTCTATCAAACTTTAGGGGCCACAAGCCATTGGCTTCGCTCCCCCCAAAAAACAAAGTTGATGAATTATGGCCCTACCCCCATGGCTTGTAGGAAGCAAAACCCACAAATACAGGCCAGCAAAAAAAGTAGCGGGAGGGCAAAGATGTTCAAGAAACCATCTTAACCCACTCATCCAAGGTTGACCCAGTTATTGTATGTTATTGTATGTTTTTATTGTACCATTCAACCGGGTCCGGGAGACTGTAAAATCTCAAGCCATGCCAGAAGCATCGAACAGCGCTGCCGAGCAGCGATGCAGCTTCTCAAGTATGAAGGTCAGCAAATTTCCTCTGCCAAATTTAGTTTTGGTTGATCTCACGTCTTCATCAAAAGAGGACGGGGTCAAGTCTTTTCAAATATGGATCCAGAAAACGGGATGGGGATGTTATGAATTATGGGATGTTCAATTCCTTCCGTTAAAAGCATGCCTTCCTCATAAAAGCTGTTTCTTTGAGGGATCACCAGCGAGTGAACAAGATGCACATGATCAATGGGATGAACGGATCAACATGCGAACTGTTTCTTGGCCTAGGGTTGTATCAAAAAATATCAAACACATAGAGAAAAAAACAATGCAATCCGATGCAACATGTCTCTCCCCAATGAAATCTCAGGGGGCTGTTCACTCTATAATTGCAATCCGCAATCAATGATCATGATCCTCCAAGCGAACGCTTGCATGATCGAGAACAGCTAATTCACGAGGATTCCCTATTTGGGCCTGCACCCATGCAGTCCCACTCCGATAATGTTGCTTCCTCACATCCGGCACCTGCTTTCCGCTTCCGCAGGCTCTGTTGAACCTGTTGCGTCAGGACCATTTGACAGCTACCCTGACATTAGACACAAAGCCCGCACATTCCCCTTACATCTGCTTAGCAATGATCTTTTGATATTTAACCTTAAGAATCCAGCCGTCGCCTGTTGTGAACATGGGCGCCCTATGCAAATAGAATCAACCACAATGCTAACCCTGTATATACTTTGTTGCACTAGATTGTGGCCGCATCGACAGATTATGACAAATAGTTCATTAATTACGCTTCCGGAGTGCAAGGAGTCATTGTTTTTGATAGCCATGCGGCGTTCTGTTGCTATGACAGGGGTTGAAATCGGCTAAAAGTCATTGAAATCGGCGCCAGGAGGGGTCGAGGACGCCCAGGTCTTCTGGTGTAAAACCACCGTCCAACAGTTCCTGCAATGCAACTCCACCGTCCAGCAATTCTTGGGGGGTGAAGCCCGCCTTTTGCAACCGGGACAGTTCCATCCCATACCCTCGAAGCTTCTCAACTGTTAGCCCTTCCTCAGCCAGCTCCTGAGGTGTCAGCCCATCCCGTTGCAAATCCTGCAGAGTAAAGCCACAGTTGAAGCAAAGCTGCCAGGGACTGACTTTGGCCTCCATCCACTGCCTGGCTGTAAACCCAACCTCCTGCAGTTGCTGAAGAGTGAAGCCTGCTACGACCAGCTCGTGAATGGTGAATCCAGCACTTGGCAGCGCACGCAATGAAACTCCATCGTCCAACAGTTCCTGGGGTGTGAAGCCCACCTCTCTCAACCGCAAGAGTTCCAGTCCAGACTCCCGAAGTTGCCGAACTGTTAGCCCTTCCTCAACCAGCTCTTCAGCCGTCAATGCATCCCGTCGCAAATCCTGAAGTGTGAAGCCACAAGCAAAGCAAAGTTGAAAGGGGGTGACCTTGGCCTTCATCCACTGCCGAGCTGTAAACCCGGCCTCTAGCAGTTGCTCAAGAGCCAAACCTGCGACAACCAGCTGTTGAATGGTGAATCCAGCACTTTGCAGTTCCTGCAATGCAACTCCACCGTCCAGCAATTCTTGGGGGGTGAAGCCCGCCTTTTGCAACCGGGAAAGTTCCATCCCATACCCTCGAAGCTTCTCAACTGTTAGCCCTTCCTCAGCCAGCTCCTGAGGTGTCAGCCCATCCCGTTGCAAATCCTGAAGAGTAAAGCCACAGTTGAAGCAAAGCTGCCAGGGACTGACTTTGGCCTCCATCCACTGCCTGGCTGTAAACCCAACCTCCCGCAGTTGCTGAAGAGTGAAACCTGCTACGACCAGCTCGTGAATGGTGAGTCCAGCACTTGGCAGTGCACGCAACGAAACTCCATCGTCCAACAGTTCCTGGGGTGTGAAGCCCACCTCTCTCAACCGCAAGAGTTCCAGTCCAGACTCCCGAAGTTGCCGAACTGTTAGCCCTTCCTCAAACAGCTCTTCAGCCGTCAATCCATCCCGTCGCAAATCCTGAAGTGTGAAGCCACAGTGAAAGCAAAGCTGCCAGGGGCTGACTTTGGCCTCCATCCACTGCCGAGCTGTAAACCCGGTGTCAACCAGCTGTTGAATGGTGAATCCAGCACTTTGCAGTTCCTGCAATGTAACTCCGCCCTCCACCAGTTCCTGGGGTGTGAAGCCCGCCTCTCTCAACCACCAAAGATTCAGTCCAGATTCTCGAAGCTGCTCAATTGTCACCCCCTCTTGAATCAGCTGTTCAAGGGTCACTCCATCCAATTGCAATTCCTCAAGTGTAAATCCACCCTGGAATAGCTGCAGGGGTGTGAGCCCTGTCATCCTAAAATGCACGAGTTCCATCCCAGCCTGACGAAGTTGTGGAATTGTCAGGCCGCCATGGGCCAACTGTTGAACTGTCAGCCAATCATCTTGAAAGTCCTGAAATGTAAATCCACTCTCTATCAGCTGTTGGGCTTCGCAGCCAGCCTCTCTCAAGTCTGCAAAAGCCAATCCAGCCGTCCGCAAATGCTCAACTGTTAGCCCTCCTTCCAACAGCTCTTGAAGTGTGAATCCATCCTGTCGTAACTCCTCAAGAGTAAAGTGACAGTCCCAGAAAAGACGGTCGGCTGTGACACCAGCCCTCCATAACTGTTGAGCTCTAAACCCAACCTCTCGAAGTTGTGGAAGTGTCAACCTTGCCTCCTGAAGCTCTCCAAGCGCGAATCCGGCACGTCCCAACTCCTTAAACGTAAATCCACCATCCAAAAACTGTGGAGGAGTGAAGCCAGACGTTCGCAACTCTTGAAGTTCGAATCCCGCAACTCTAAGCTGCTGGAGGGTAAATCCTCCTCGAACCATTTGTTGCGGTGCGAATCCAACAGCTCGCCACTCCTCAACCACAAAGCCACCATCAAAGAGCTCTTGCAATGTAAAGTGTTCAGTCGCCCTCAATGACTCAAGCGAGAATCCAACTTCTCGAAGTTCTAGAGTGGAATATCCGATCTCTGCAAGTTCTCGCAAAGAAAATGGTGCCTGTTGATTCCCAGATGATGCTAAAAGTTCTGTTGCTGTGAAACCTGCATCACGAAGCACTTTGGCACAACCGCAGTCGCGCAGTTCATCAGGTCTTATACCAGCCTTTCGAAGTACCTCAGGATGGAAGGACAAGGCAAGGACCATGCGTATCCATGCCCGGCGATAAAACGGCTCCACCACCACTGGTGCTGGCATGTCAGGCTCCGAATCTCGAACCAAGCGTAGAAACTCAATCAATGGCAAAAACACCCGAGGTGAATAGTCAACAAAGAGGTGTCCCTCTGCATCCAGTTGATTTTGCCAACGCTCCGAAAACATCGAGGCAAAATGATTGTCGCCAACCACATTGAACAACTCTGGTCTCACTTGGATGATTTGTTCACCACCCACATTGATTGTGACAGCTTTCCGATCAGCCATGCCGAGGTTCCGCACACGGTACACTGGTACACTGGTGATACTTTGCCAAGAGTGACTGTCTGTGTTCAAAGAGAAACTCATCAGAAAAGCCTTACACAGTACATCATCATCCCATATGTATATAATCTGACGATTTCATACAGCCTTGCCCCCTAGCCTAGCCTCATGATTGCAAGTGTGCTTGCTTGTTATGTAGTTCCCCCCGGTTGGTGATTGGTACTTTGGGATACTTTGGGATAGTTTGGGATCAATGGGTTCAATCAAAGCAGGGGGTCACATGCAGTTGTGCCAGTGCTTGAGCCAAGGCATTTCATTGGAAATCTGCAAAATCCGCTTCTTGCTGAGGCTAAGCAAATCAATTTTACAAACGCTGGCAGCAAGCATCATACCAAGTTGAATTTGGGGCCCTTTGCAGGGGTCCACATTCCATTTTGGGCTTCATCTGAATTTTGCATATTCTGATTCGAGGCCATGTTTGACGGTTCCCCCATCATAAACCCATCGTTTGTGGTGAGGTCGTCTGAAGCTTATCTCCCAAATGATGTTCTTATGCCCCCAATGTCTTTAACAAAGGGAAAGTATAGCATAGCATAGCAGCCTTAAGTAGATAAATCGAATAACCTGGAAAATCCGCCGTTTGTCATTTCATGTTCCTTCACTTCCCCGATGGGTTTTCCACATCATTTTGTATGTTTGCTGAGGGTAGTATATCCAGCCTTGCACCAGCCGTGCCAACGAACCAGCTGTGCACCTCAGGGGCCGGCTGCGAAGGGGTAAATGGGGATCATCCCTTCCTGCTAATGTCACCTAGATCCTGAGGTCCTATACTAAACCAAAGGTTCTGCAAGGTATTGTACTATATCCGAAGGGCCGGGAAGGGATTCACCTTGAGGATGAGGATTGCAGATTCTGTGTTCAACCCAGGCATAGCAGCTATGGAGACACCAAAGGCGGACACCTCCTGCACCCACCTACCACAACCAGATGTTCCATGAGTCGCAAGTTGCGACGACTGCTTCCCCTATCCAAAGAAAAAGAAGCAAAGGGTGGCTGTGGGCTTGTCTGGCAAAAACGCGCTAGTGCGAATTTTTATGAAATTTTAAATAGCTGATCGTCATTTTCCGGATCAAAGTTGACATAGACCGATTTTAGTGGACAGATTTGGATGGATGTGCGGCACGACCATACCTCTGAGATCCTCTGAGTATATGGCGTGATGATATGGAGCCCATAACAGGCCAACCTTGAACGTGGGCCTCAGAGGTAGGGGTAGGTCATTGAAGTTCAGACCGGGCAATTCGAATATATACATGCATGGTTACCCTTTTGGGTATGTCTCAAATACATTCAAAATCATTCAAATACCCCCTACCCCGAATCATTTCTCATAAGTTCCCCCAATTTTGCAAATTCGGGTCTCACCAATTATGAGACATGCCCATTTGCGGTTTGACTAGCCCAGTTTTGATCCACACACACATATGTCTTATCCTGCCCGAAAAAAAGAAAGCTGGATAGCACATTCCTCGGGCACACAATTCACCCATCAAGCTACGCGTCAAAATTCTTGTTCATAAAACAAAACCTGCATATTGTTCATCTTATAGCCATGAACTCGTTGTTCACATAGCCTGCCTTAGATGATGTCCAACAGAGATCCACAAATGCAAAACATCGACACATCCACTACCCTTCACCACAGTTTACCCAGGTCAAGCGAAATGGGATGATCAAAGGTAGTCTAAAAGCAGCAGCCCAGCTGCGAAAAACATTGGGTTGCTGGCGTCAACTCCTATTTTCTGGCAACTGGTTTTCATCATACCAGGGAATAGAACAAACACGAAACCGTGAAACGGCCACCTGGTCTTGTTGGCAATATTCCCCCAAATGATTCGCAATATATCCATATATATATATATCCCATGTTTATTGGAAACAGTTTCCTATTTCTAGCCGTTTCCTAATCTGGGCGTACGAACGCAAAGCCGTGACAAGACAGGCCTGGGACTACTGGTGATGGGCCACCCACGGGCCACCCGGTTGGTTTACGAAGGGACCCGATAGGTAAGTTGGCTTACAACATTTTTAGGCTAGGCTATATAACTTAACTAAGATCTATGGTGGATATATCTCCTGTGAATTGGAGTTTTAACAATTTTAACCAACAAACATACTGTAGCTAGGGGAATCCCCTTCATATTTGGCAAATGTTCAAAATGGGACATATCTCCAGCCATTTGGAAAAATGTGTTGGTTTGAGGTAAAACTGACACCGGAAACCCCTATATTCCATGGGAAAAAGCAATTGTTTCCTGCACAATTTCCCTCAAACCAATTCTTCAAACAGGATCCCTCTTCCAAACGGTTCTCCCAGCCAACATCTACTCCAAATGGTGTCCATCTGCCGAAGTTGCCACATTTTGCTTGTTTTTTCAAACATATGGGGCTTTCAGGTCCACCCTGGAAGTCACATGAAGTAGTGTTTTTAAGAAAATGTCTTCCTTCTATGTCGTTGGATTATGTACAGTGTAAAGTTCCAGACACCATCGAAACCATCGAAACCAGAAACCTGCGGGTCTTTATCCCCCAAACGAAGATGTGGTTTTCCTTGATCATCTCCTACCAAGATCTACCAAGTCCAGGACTACGAACCCAGCACTGGGTAGCCTGAAGTTGAGGTGCATTCCAAAATTTTCGGGCATAGAAATAAACACACATGAACTCAACACACACACACACATATATATATAATTATATGAAACTGAAGATATATTAAACCTAGTTGCAGCAATTCAAAAAGTGAATCTTTACGCATGTATATTGATGCTTGTGGACATGTGGACTCATCTCAGCAGGCAAATAAGCAAGCATGGTACAACCGCAAGTATTTTGAGCTTGGCTACTTCCCTAAAAAAAATAGAGGTTCCATTTGGGTTGCGTCCAATTCTCGCTTTTGACCTTTGCCAGAGCAATTTTGGAATCTGGGATCCGGACAAGATCGAATAAAACCTGAGCAGGTTTTCATCCGCCGGAAGCATCATGCACGTGCAGCACGATCTTCACAGATATTAAATGTACCAAATACAATACAAACACCTGCGCATGCATATATATATAATATTCATATCCATATCCATATCTATATCTTATACATGTGTATGTATTATACCAAAGGCCAAAGCATGTGCACACATACGCATACACATATCAATATCTGCTAATCGAAAAGATAACATATAGGTACTTTTAAAGCTAGAAGAAATTCTAGGATCTAGAATATTTGGAAAGCTTCGTGTGACTGGATGGCAACCGTGGAGAATGGTGCGATAGATTGATTGATACCAGTCCCATCCAGTCTCCGTCTCTCTCACTCTCTCTCTCTCTCAGAAGAATGTTCAATCTTACAATATGGAAAGTGCAACTGCATGACATACTGTACCCTATAAGGCACCTTTTACACAAATGCAAATCATACATGTACAGTATATGATATATGAGCATATATTTATGTAAACATGTGTATATATTTACTGTGTATAAATGCTTGTGTATATGTTCATGTCTATTTGTTGTGTCCGTCTATTCGTTGTGTCCCTGATCCTTGGTTCGTGTGGATGTGATCACCTTGCGGCTTTGACACGGTGGTGTACACTACACGCTTTCAACCAGCCACTATCTTTGTGTGAGGTTGAAATTCTCCATGGCTTTGGGTCAAAGCTCTTGTACTTAGCCCAGTGCATCATTTTGAAGTTAGTGAAGCAATTAACATGCTGGTAAACAAATGGTTCATACATGTTCACCCCCCAAACTCTGGGGCCAAGAGGTTTTGAGGCCATCGTCAGCTTGGGGAAGTTAACCCCAGTTGGTAGCTGGGGCCCTGAGCTCAGCGTCCCCAGCAGAAACCTTTGAGGATCCAGGTCCAAGGGGAGATGGTTTGATGGGCCAGGGTTTTTTCGGTATGACCTGTCAGGTTTCAGGAGAATAAAAGAGCTGTAGAAAAAGCAGAAACACTGGAGATTTCATTCAATGATCTATGTATATATATATCTCCTTCTCTTTCTTTCTCTTTCCATCGCCATCTCCAAAGATATGCAATGATATCTAACTTATCTAATGCAAGTTGTTTTTTTTGGGGGAAGATTTGCGCACCAAAAAATGCTATCTCGTCTTTTGGCAACACATTCTCGAAGCCACATCACATTCCTACTCTCAAATGCCCTGCAAGAAAGATAGCTGGTTACCACATAGCCCCCATTTATTGAGCAACACATTACAAATGCTTAAATCATATAGAAGCAAATCAAATATCACCATGTATCAATCAAACAAACCATGAATTAAAGCATTAACGGTTTTGGTGCTTGGGCTGAAACCTGAAAAATGTGCGAAAGTCATTGGTGATCATCCCATAAGATTAAACATCAAGAACATCATCATTAACACCAAGGGATTTATCATCAATAGACCAGCTATTAGACCCATCCGACCCATCTAACATCATCTAACCAGCTATTGCTTAAAAAAAACCTCCTGTAAACATACAAGACCATGTGGAAGACCCACCATGAATGTAGATTATGTTCCTAGGAAAAACTATTGTTTTTCGGTATCTATGTTAGTTTACCCTAGAGTAATTCTCTGTTGTTATCCCTATTGACATCGCCAACTGGACATCCAGATCTCCAAACATCTTACCGAGCATGGCCCAGGGACGAAGCTGAAGATGTTGGAGGCTGTATGTACCTGGAAACCAACATATTGGCAAACTATTTTGCAGCCAAAGGTTGATAACTATTGAACTATTGGTAAACCATCAGGTTGGATTTTCTATTGGCAAACCATGGGAATTTACCCAGCCAACTTAGTCCTGCAGTGACTGTTGGGTTTCAATCTCTGCGTCTGGGAGTGGTCGGCCGGTTTATTTTGCCCTTCAAAACCGGAATGGCACCCAGGAACCCTAGACACTAGAACCCTGGAACTTGCTGTTGGGTTACAAAGTTGGCCACACGACCCAGGTCAAGGGACAACGTCATGGCGATATCGCACTTTTTCAAGGGAAAATATAGGAACACATGGGGTTATAGATGTGGTGATGTGGTGCTTTCCATTGCTGCAGTAGATGACCAAGGGATACAGTATCGAACAAACTGGTGCCACTTTGAACTCGTGTGGGGATGGTTCCCCAAAGGAATCCAACATGAATTACTTTAACATCACCATAAGAATGTGATCATATGTGATCTCATTCACTTGATAATTCACATGAATTCACATGGCCAGCTGGAAAATCCATCCAAATTTAGCTCGATGATTTTCCCAGGTGTGACATATTCACTTGGAGAAAACGTGCAACAAAAGAAACGGTGTGACCCGTGTTTCTTTTTGGGGGGTGCGTAAAATTAGGGGGACGGGAGTATGTATATACATACAGTATATATATATAATTATATATATATATACATAGACATGTATATTTAAGAGAAATGCTGGGGTGCAATGACTATCAATCACAGAAGTTGCATTTTTGGGAGGACCGGATGAATACAGCAGACTCCGAAGAAATTGGGCCGAATTTTGAGGAGCCAACCATTTGGCCAACCATTTGGATTTCTCGATGAAGGAGCTCTCGAGAAATAAACACTTCAATTCACAGAAATATCTAAATGATAAAAAAACATATCCTCGTTATATTGAATTTTCTCGGTCTCTCTCAACCTTTCGAATTGACCAAACTGAAAGGATCTGAAACGTAATGTTTTGAGGATGGTTCCAAATCGGAAGCATCATTTCAAATGACGGCGCTGTGAAGTCGTCAAAATTTACCCACTATATTCCCATAGCCTCAGATGAACCATTAAAAATGCCCCTTATCCCATCTCATAATACTGGTTGGTAAATAATGGTCAATAGACTATTCCCCGGTGAGTATGGCTAAAATCCCTAATAAACCAGTGAGTGCAAACCCCTGCATCAACCGGGTATTTATGAATGCCACACTGATGGTTGGCACTGCTTTCAGGGCACAGAAAATGAATTCTCAGGAGCGTCGCAGAAATTCCATGCCTGGAACACTGGCAATGGGGGTACCACCAAATCGTCCAAGTCATTCGACCACAAGAGGTATACTAAAGATGTTAAAACCTATGGTGACTTGGGGATCCTTCATCTTAGGAAACCCCCATACGGTGCATTGTAAAATCTTGAGGTTGGTGATTCTTAATTCTACAATTCGTTGGATGGTTTTGTTTTGGACTCTCTCAACCAAAGACAATGAGGTTTACCCATCAAACTGTTTCCTGCAAAATTGCACATAAACCAATCCTGACAAAATTGACAAAATATAAAAAAAATGATGTTGTGGTTTTACGATTTGCTCTCTACATGTTTGTCTGTTTTCGGTGTCCAAAAAATACCTTCTGCTCCAAATTATATACATGAATCATCATGAATCACCATATAATGGCACTGAAAAAGGTGGCACCAAAAAAAAACAACAATTATCATAACTGCGTGGCACTTTTTTGGAACGAATCATGATGAACCAAGCAGGATACGGAATCTCTCAGGAAACCCGGTTGAAACCATCAACCCTGTAGTAAAGCTGGTAGACTGGTTTTCTGAAGCAAATTTTGCCAATAGCCATGGATATTCTTCAACCCCCATGGTCCAATAAGATCAATAAGTAAAATGATCCGTCTCCAATTTTCCTTGAAAACTACAATCATGTCGAGCATTCATGGCATTTTATGGGGCAACGTTCGGCTATCCGTTCTTATGGTTGCTTCCCACATCGCAAATCAGGATGGACACGTGCACTGTATGGGATACGACCCTTGTTCGGGGTTCCTCAAATGCTATCGATAGAGTGGACTACTGCATTTTGCAGTGGAAGTCAACTAGCGAATTTACACGTCTAGAGTGGTGGATTGGAGTGTACCCATTTGACTCCGATAGCTTTGACTTTCAACAAGAAATGCTCAACCTGTGACACACACACACACACAGTGGCCTGTTGCAACCTATGGGTGGACCGTCACCAGTCTATTGCAATATATTGCAATGTACAAGGTGCGTTTGGAGATGCTAAACCATTGCGTCCGTGTGTTGCTCATGTGCACATATGGTGACATAGTGGGTCTTGCAAACGAACTGCACAATGCATAAGCACCTGAACTGAGATACCAACTATACTATTACATTACATAACTATCATGTGGTTGGGAAACTCTTGGTAGCTCCTGGCTATCCGTATCTATATATAATAGGGAAAACGGATACCGGAAACAACCATAGCTCCAAACCGATCTCAACAAATCCCACCGGATAGAAATTCATATGCCCTCTCTGATACTTGCACAGTTCGCTATGGAACATGACCCATCAAAGTAAATGATGTAACATGTAACATCTTAAACATGATGTTTTTTCTTAGCTATGTGAGATTACTGGAGAATACTGGAGGATCTTTCCCGTTCAATCGTTATTATTTCATCATGTTTATTGCTAAAATCGCAGTTTTTCTTCCCTCCCTCCCAGGCATGTCCTTGGATGCAAAGCCATACGCCAGCAAATTTATCGCAGAGAGTTGGCACCTCAGCCAGCCGCCATGTTTTTGTCACGGAAATTCAACATGGTCTTGCCAATAATCCCATTCTCTATAATATTAAATACCCCATAAATGGTCACAAAAAAATGTGGAAACTCCCTACTAAACCATGGTTTCGTTTGGGGGTGTTTAATATGAACAGAGGAAGGGATTATATATGGCCATGTCCATGGAAATCATATGAAATCATGTTCAAAGCCCTTTGCAGTTGGGGGTCCATCTCAAATTTCGGGAGTGTAACTGTTACACGAATCAAACCACCTATGTGATATAAAAAAAAACAACACATGCAACGACTATACTGTGAAGGGCCTAGGCGTCCATCTACGTATAGGTGGAACATGCTGTTAACCCCCCGAAATGGCCGTGCAAGCGGCCCGTACAAGTCCAATCTCAGATACCCTATATTGCTGTTTACAGCTGCTTTGTGAATCTTGGTGAATACCCTCTGGTAATGACTAACATAGCTATTGAAAATGACCATTTATAGTGGATCTTCCCAAAAAAAATGGTGATTTTCCATAGTTATGTTAGTTCACCTGTGGGTATTTCCATGTATGGCAAACCAAATCGACTTCACTTATGATCATCCCCCTGCCCGAACATCGACCCTGCCCGGTCTGGGGGGTGGTTTTGGCTGCTACCCTCTAGGCTTGGCTATGTTGGTATGGTTTTTAGTGCCTTCACCAAGGTTTACCTAGTTCCAAGTTGCTTGATACCCCCCTATTAACGATATAGTCTATATATATATATATATATAGTAACTATAAATAGTGTCAAACGTGGATTAATAACCCGCCCTCGGCATAATAGAACATCACTATTTGGAGGGTATCCCCTCCAAATAAGCCATGGTCTATTAATCAGGGGTTGACATTACAGTATATCTATCATAAACGTCATAAACCCTCATCTTCTCCTAAGCTCTGGCTCCCCCGGCGATCCGATCCATTCACTTCTCTGGTCGTCCAGCCAAACCTGAGCTGATAGACAGAAAAATGGGGGACCTTCTGGAGAAAAAAACAAGTTGCCAAGTTGGATTACTGACTACAGGAAAAATAGTCTACAATAGTCTAAAATATTCTAAAATGTACTGTCTGGGTCCTTGGGCTTGAAATCGCAACTTTAGATTGCACCAAGATCACTAAGTGATGAAAATGAATGAACATGAGGCAATGGCTGCCATTTCTAGTGGACAGCAACTCATTTTTCAGCGGTAGCCGCTGGCTGGATCAGCGCGTCATCTGAGCTGTTTCCTTGGCCATGACTGAAACGGCAGGGCATCCATGCCTATAACCTCTGCAATACAGAGCCTTAGCCGTTTTCGGGGAATAGCAAAACCTTGGGATAATGCATCAAGCAGCCACAACAAATATGATGTTCTTTGCCCACCAAAACTGGATCGTTACACCAACCAAAATGGGTCGGTCATGGCTAACGGCAAGTCACAAAAACACAAACGGCCAAAACTTCTTGCTCCCAACACCGTGGGCAGCATGTGTCACACCAGCCGGACAACAGTTGAAGAAACCACAGCAAAGGTGGAAACCTGATGAACTTTGCAGTCATGCTTTGCTTCGGCTTTCTACACACACACACATATATATATATTATGATATATATATAGATCCGTGTGTGTGTGACACATGTTACATAAATCAAAATCGTTCAAAAAAACAACTTATGAGATTGCAACCTCTCACCATTCTTGAACAAGTCATTGGGGTCCACTGCCAAGCTACAAGCATCATGTCTAGGCATAGCTGCTCCTCGCTACCGACATGGATTTGACGCAAATCCTCAAGATTTTCCCTTGGCCATGGCCAATCTTAAAAACAATCTTTCATTGAAAGAAACTGGTTAGCATCCATATAGTCCAACACATAGATATCCTCCGCTAAACTGAACATAGCTATGGCAATCACTTTTTTGGAAATAGGTAAACTATCTATAAATGGGTCATGTTCCATAGCTATGCTGGTTTACTGGATGGTAACGACTAAAGTACCTCATCAAACATAGCGAAACTCCACGATTTTCCCGTTAAATCACCATTGAGCTCGAAGACTTTCCAGCCACGGTTGATGACTCACTTGCGAGGCTGAGTTTTCTATCTAAATCCCATGAACTCACTATTGTTGTTGGGTAAATCCCATATAAATCCCATAATATACATCCCATCAAATGCCACAGAAACATCCCATATATAAATCGCATTAAAATCGCATAGAAAATCCCAGGTTTGTCCGTGGTTCACCGCATGGCCTGCCAGGGACAGCCCGCAAAGTGCCGCACAAAGTCCCCAGGACGCCACTCGTAGGCCATCCAATCGACAGAGGCTGGAGGGACGAAGGCGTTGAACTGCGCCTGGAGCATGATATCTTTGGATGTTCATAGGGTTTTACCCTCTGGTAATGACTAACATAGCTATTGAAAATGACCATTAATAGTGGATTTTCCCATTAAAAATGGTGATTTCAATAGCTATGTTAAATTACCAGAGGGTATAGGGATTCCAAAAAGGGATTCCAAAAAGAGATTCTGGGCTGACTTTTTCCTAACCTAAATCAATGATTTCCCTTATTAACCATGATTCCAGTGAGGTCGCAGGAATAAGAACAGGGATTCTATAGAGATTAATAGGGATTCTCTGCTCGACAGTTCAAGGACTTCTATATATAGAGATTACTAGGTATTCTATCGGGATTCTATGGGAATATATATATATATATAATATAGGGATTCCAAAAAGGGACTTTATCATCCAAAGGACTATAGGGACTTTTAACCTGATGATAGGTTGGAGACTATATAGATTTAACATATTAGGTTTCAACATCATTGGGTTTACTTTCAAGACTCTGTGGGGACCCTATAGAGACTCTAAGGAATTTTGCCCTGGATATCCCTGGATGAGTTTCTTGTTGGGATTAAAGGATTCGAGAAGGGAATTTCAGGGTGATTTAATAAAGTTTCAGCATGAGCTAAAAAAACATGGTTGCGGCGTCCGCAGATTTGCGGCGCTTCTGTCTGTTTTGAAAAAGGAACGTTGATCACGGCGCAATATGCGAGTCATCTTTGATTCTAATTTTCATGAGAAGCGCCAGATCCTACGACGTAGCATCCAGTGTGTGCAGCATCCAATGTGTGTGCAAGTGCAAGAGAAGATCCTACGCCTCTACGCGGTAGCATCCTGTGTGGCAAGTGCAAGAGAAGATCCTATGACGTAGCATCCAGTGTATGTGTGTGTGTGCAAGTGCAAGAGAAGATCCTACGCCTCTACGCGGTACTGTAGCATCCCGTGTGTGCAAGTGCAAGAGAAGATCCTATAACGTAGCATCCAGCGTGGACCAGTGCAAGAGAAGATCCTATGACGTAGCATCCAGTGTGTGTGTGTGCAAGTGCAAGAGAAGATCCTACGCCTCTACGCGATAGCATCCCGTGTGTGCAAGTGCAAGAGAAGATCCTATGACGTAGCATCCAGTGTGGACAAGTGCAAGAGAAGATCCTATGACGTAGCATCCAGTGTGCGTGTGTGTGCAAGTGCAAGAGAAGATCCTACGCCTCTACGCGATAGCATCCCGTGTGTGCAAGTGCAAGAGAAGATCCTATGACGTAGCATCCAGTGTGGACAAGTGCAAGAGAAGTATGATACCAATTCTGGATCGGGCTTGGGGTGCTCTGTGGGATGGTATTGATAACGGATGAAATTCTAGATGATGTGGGTGATAATCTTTGGGATATTTTGGGATGTTTTCCTTGAACAATACATCGCTGCTCCTTCCAATGGTGCAGTCGATTTGTATCATCATGACAGTTTGGAAAACCATCCACATCTTTGAAACATTTTGAAACCAGCAACCTCCAGATCTTTCGCCGCAAAAAAATGGTGGAATACATTGGTTTCATGATCTTTTGGACATGCTCTTTGGATGGCTCCAATTTGGCGCGGTTTTTCGATGCTGGGATTTCACCATGCACGATAGCCTCTGGTAAACTAAGATCATTATCGAAAATCACCATTTTAGAGCTGGGTAAATCAAGGATTTCTATGGCCATTTTCAATAGCTATGTGAAATGACCAGAGGGCAGATCTCAGCCTGGTGAACCAGCCGGATCTCGCTGGGATACAGAAAGTCTTCCTCCTGGGCGGAGGGGATATACAGGCATAGTCATGCATATGGAGACGGAGATGTATATACGTAGATAATGCAAATAGTGGTTAGACATATCCTACATGTATATATATATATATACTGTATACAAACATATCTGTATATGTATACATATATATGTATACAATGCAGCAAGTTCCAAACAAAAATGCAGAACATGCTTTCTTAACTGTTTTAGGATCATTTATCTTCGCTGCTACACATATTAAACATCATGGAGTTCGGCCTTGGTTCGACTCATCAGATTTCTCAGTTGGTTGGGTTAGAATATCCAGAACATGTCGAAAACTGAAGCAAGAAAGTGTCAGCAAGTGCCTTGAACTTTGACCCAGCCCCGAAACGCAAAAGGTCAGCTGTTTTTATTGACCCCAGTGGGTTATGGCACCATCAACAACTGTCCTGATCTAGATCAATGTCCAATGCTCCACGAATCATGTGCCAGAAAAACATGGACCTCAGTTCTACGGCCTTTTCAGCCTGCAAACTCTGAAAAGATCTTCAAAAAAACGCCTGGGCATGCCTCCTGAAAAGTGGACCGCAATTTCCCTGGCTATGGGTCAATTGGGGCAGTCTTGAAACTAGGGTATCGCCAAAATTAGTCAAAATTACTGGTTTACATCAGCATTTTCCCAATTAACATGTCAGTTTGTGGAGGTCCCGATTTTATACAAAGTTTATGGCTTTCGCCATTCTGAACATAAACTGGTCCAGGGGGTCAGTCCATGTTCCTTTGGCACGCGTGGAATTAGATGAAGCATGCAGTGCCCGCGGCATTCAAAAATTCAGCACGCTTATTTTAGTGATGCACACACACAAGCGGAGAAACCCGTACCATCTGAAGAATGAATGAATGAATGAATGAATGAAAGAAAGGAAGAAAGAAAGAATGAACGAACGAACGAATAAATGGTGGATGGATGGATGGACGAACGAACGGACGAACGAACAAATGAATGAGTCAAGAAGGAAGGAAGGAAGAATGCCTTGGCTTCAAATAATATATATATGCATATATACGCTATTTGGTGATGAGGGCTTGATACTTTGAAAACCAAGAAACTCCTTATAGGGAGTAGCAACACTATATACAACCAACTCAAACCCATGGTGCCCTTTGGAAAACGCAGGGGCCCAATGCTGTTTTGGTGAGAAAGATAAGTTGAAGCTGGTTTAGCTTACCACTTGCCATCCT